TATATATATGTGTGTGTGTGTGTGTGTGTGTATGTATAGTGTGTGTGTGTGTGTGTGTGTGTGTGTTAAAATGAATTTGTAATTTTATTAAAGAAATGTTAACTGCATTTATTCAACTATAAACTATGAAATATTATTCAACTTTAAATATATTGATTTCTTTGTGCATTTTATTTTATCTTCTATTTCTATATAGATGTTCCGAGTACCAGGGGAAGAACGCAAGTTTGATCATAGTGATAAATTTGGTGAACGCGAATCTATTCGTACATGCAAAACTATTATGAAAGAAACAAATACCATTATTGAAATTGCATCGTCTAAAGATCAGTCTTTAACATTTCTTATAACTGGAAAGCAAAATCAAGTTCTGGAAGCTAAACGGCGCATTCTGACAACATTTCAAACCCAGGTATTCCTAATGTTACTATTAAAAGAGATATGCATATTTTTCACATTTTTTAATATTTAAAACCATTTATTTTCTTATATTTTTGTATGCCGAAATATACATAAATTAGATATATTTGTATTTTTGCTAATCTCTCATAGGCAAGTAAGCAGATTAGTATTCCTAAAGATCATCATCGTTGGATTCTTGGAAAACAAGGGCAGAGATTGAAAGATTTAGAACAAAAAACTGCTACAAAGATTAATGTGCCTGGCGTGCAAGATCAGTCAGATATAATAACAATTACAGGAACAAAAGAAGGCATTGAAAAGGCTGAACACGAAATTAGAGTTATTTCTGATGAACAGGTAATTGTTAAGATGATAATAAATTACTGTACTATTCCCTTTTAAGATTTATATATGCTTTTATATAATAATATCTTGTTATGAATGTTGCAGTCTAGGAAAGCTTTTGAAAGGATAACTGTGCCAAAAATATTTCATCCGTTTATATACGGTGCACATAACGAAAATCTCAATGCTATGATGGCAGAAACTGGTGCTCGTATCAATATTCCTCCTGCCTCAGTGCAGCAGGATGAAATAACTATAGCTGGTGAAAAAGAAGGGGTTTTGGCTGCAAAGCAAAAGATTGAAAGTATCTACAAGGATATGGTAAGTTAATAAAATTGTTTTATAATTTTATTAGCATGCACACGTGATATGTAAATTTTTCGTCCAGGCAAAAAGATGTACTACAGTATCTGTAGAGGTTCCCAAGTCTCAACATAAATATGTAATTGGGCCACGTGGTAGCACCATAGCAGAAATATTACAAACAACTGGTGTGAGCGTCGAGATGCCTGCACCTGACTCGGCAACTGGTACCATAACTCTTAGAGGACCTCAAGAGAAACTTGGTCAGGGTAAGCAATTTGAAAATTACGACTATAATTACCTGTATATGTTCTTTAAATGTAATATGTTCTTTAAATTTTATCTTCGAGTAATGTATTGACTATTATATAATTATTTATTTTTGTAGCTCTTAACAAGGTATATGAAAAGGCAAATAGTGTTCGCACTGCTGTGGTAGAAGCTCCAGTCTGGATACATAAGTACATTATTGGACGCAAAGGTGTAAATATCAAGAAGATTACTCAAGAAATGCCAAAAGTAAATGTAGAATTTACTGGAAAAGAAGATAAAATCAAGATAGAAGGTCCACCTGAAGAAGTAGAGAAAGCACAGAATGAGTTACAACTTATGGCTAATGATCTTATAGCAAAGCTTACTTTCACAGAGTTAAATGTCGACCCAAGATTTTACAAGCATATCATTGGGAAGAATGGTTGTAATGGTGAGTAGCAATTTAATATTATTTATAATCTAAAAATTATATTACTATCTTATATATGGAGAAAGAAATGTTTGTATTTGTGTCAAATTTCTTTTGTTTTTATTAAAGTGAATCGTGTTAAGGAAGGAACGGGTGTTGTGATTAGTATATCTGAAAATGATGGCAGTAACGTTATCCGTATCGAAGGCAATCTTGCTGGTGTGTTGAAAGCTCAAACGGTATGTATTAGATTATTATCTAGTAACAAGTGTTATTAAATAAATGGAATAAAAGATTAATGCTTTTATTTTATAAATAATTTAGGAACTTGTAGAAATGGTGAAAAAGTTAGAAAATGAGAAAGAAAAAGATGTGATTATAGATCACAGATATTATCGTAACATAATTGGTAATAAAGGAGATAATATCAAAGAGATTAGAGATAAATTTAATCAAGTACAAATTACTATACCTGGACCAGGTAAGCAATATTTAGAATATTGCAATAAAATATTGATTTATTCTAATGATGCCTATTTTTTATCAATTTATCAATTTTTTTCAGGTGAAAAAGGAGATATAGTAAAGATCAGAGGACCCAAAGAAGATGTCGATAAGTGCCATAAACATCTAATGAAGTTGGTGAAAGAATTGAATGAAAGTAATCATGTATTGGAAGTACCTATTTTTAAGCAGTTTCATAAATTTGTTATTGGAAAAGGTGGTGTTAACATCCGTAAGGTTTGTATCAGATTTTATTATTTATAACATTTTTTTATATTTGCATCTATATATACTCAAGTTATACGATATAGATCAGAGAAGAGACGCAAACAAAAATTGATTTACCTGCTGAAGGCGAGAAAAGTGATGTTATAACTATCACTGGAAAAAAAAGAAAATGTAGGAGAAAGCTAAAGAAATGATACAAAAGATTCAAAAATGAATTGGTAATTTGTAACATTTTATATATATATATATAAAATAATATATATATATATATATATATATATATATATAATAATAGAAAAAACCGAGATACATGATATATTTATACTAGGCTAACATTGTTACTGAAGAAATCACTATTCCACCAAAGTTTTACAATTCACTTATTGGTACTGGAGGTAAATTAATACATTCTATTATGGAAGACTGTGGAGGCGTCACAATCAAATTTCCCACCGCCGAAAGTAAAAGTGATAAGGTAAAAAAAACGAGATTCTTCTATTCTTTGATTGTTTGAAATCTTTATACACGATATATATATATATGTATATAGGTCAGTATCAGAGGTCCAAAAGATGATGTGGAGAAAGCAAAAGCACAGCTTTTGGAACTAAGCAATGAAAAGCAATTATCCAGTTTTTCGGCTGAAGTGCGTGCCAAAGTTCAACATCATAAATTCCTTATTGGAAAGAATGGTGCCAATATCAAGAAGGTAGAAAGTGCATGAATGCAGTATATGTTATACTTCCAGCTATTAGAAAATAAATTTTTATGTAATTCTTTTATTATAGATAAGAGAATCCACAGGCGCACGAATTATGTTCCCAACAGAGGAGGATCAAGATAAGGAAGTGATTACTATAATGGGCAAGAAAGAAGCAGTTGAGAAAGCTAAAGCTGATTTAGAAGCTACGATTAAAGAGATTGTAAGAGAATCGTTATTTTTAAGTAATCCATATAAGTATAGGTGTAACTATCTCCAAAGTGTAATTATCTCTCTTGATGTACTTCCAGGACAATATTATCGAGGGCGAAATTCACATCGATCCTAAGCATCACAGACATTTCGTTGCGCGGAGAGGTGGTGTACTACACCGAATTGCTGATGAATGTGGCGGTGTGCAAATTTCATTTCCACGGGCAGGCGTCGACAGCGATCGCGTCAGCATAAAAGGCTCGCATGAATGTATAGAAGCTGCGAAACAACGAATGCGAGAAATCGTCCAGGAATTGGTAAATGAATGCAATTATACATTATTGTGTGTATCGTATATTTATCACTGTCTTCTCGATTTAGGAATCTATGGTAACAGTGGAATGCGTAATACCTCAAAAGCATCATCGCACGGTGATGGGTGCAAAGGGTCGCAAAGTGCAAAACATAACATCTGAATATGACGTACAAATCAAATTCCCTGATCGCGAAGTATATGGTTGGTATCGATTTTAATATTTGAATATTTTGAATATTTACTATGAAATTACCTGTTAATTCTTATTGAATCTATTAAAATATGAAATTCTGCATATTATTTTAGATGAACAAAAAACACCGGAACAAGTTAATGGAGAAAATAGAGAGACAGGAGAAATTGTTCCAGCTTGCGATATAATTCGTATTACCGGACAACCTGAGAACGTTGCTGCCGCTAAACAAGCTTTACTCGATCTTGTCCCTATTACAATTCAAGTTAGTTTATTCTTGTAATAATTTATTCTCGCAATTATAAAACCAATCTAAATACTAAATACTACTAATTTTTTTCTCGTATTTAGGTAGATGTACCATTTGATTTCCATCGTTCGATAATTGGGCAGAAAGGTAAAGATGTACGGGAATTAATGAATACATATGATGTACACATCATGCTCTCTCCAGCGGAGGAAAAACTAGATTATATCAAAGTAATTGTTTTGTTAAATAGATTATTAAGAGATACAAATATAGAATTTATCTTATATACTTATTCTTTTTTATTTCTTAGATCTCTGGAACGCCGTCGTGTGTGCAAAGTGCCAAGGAAGCTATCCTTGAAAAATGTGAAGCTTTGAAGGCCGAACGAGAGGACCGAGCATTAAAATCTTTCGAATTAAAGGTAACATCATTACATAACTTTAATTTTCCTATAATTAAGAATTATTGCATTCTAAAGATGGCATTTGGTATGTTAATATTTTCTAAGGAAAAATAGCACATCAAATCTGCTCTTATATATATATATATATA